CTGTGTGTGTGTGTGTCTGTGTGTGTGTGTGCCTGTCTGTGTGTGTGTGTCTGTGTGTGTGTGTGCCTGTCTGTGTGTGTGTGTCTGTGCCTGTGTGTGTGTGTGCCTGTCTGTGTGTGTGTGTGTGTGCGTGTCTGTGTCTGTGTGTGTGTGTGTGTGCGCGTGTCTGTGTCTGTGTGTCTGTGTGTGTGTGCGTGTCTGTGTCTGTGTGTGCGTGTCTGTGTCTGTGTGTGTGTGCCTGTCTGTGTGTGTGTGTGCCTGTCTGTGTGTGTGTGTGTGCCTGTCTGTGTGTGTGTGTGTGCGCGTGTCTGTGTCTGTGTGTGTGTGCCTGTCTGTGTCTGTGTCTGTGTGTGTGTGTGTGTCTGTGTGTGTGTGTGTCTGTGTCTGTGTCTGTGTGTGTGTCTGTGTGCGTGTGTGTGTCTGTCTGTGTGTGTGTGTGTGCGTGTCTGTGTGTGTGTGTGTGCCTGTCTGTGTGTGTGTGTGTGCGCGCGCGTGTCTGTGTCTGTGTGTGTGTGCCTGTCTGTGTCTGTGTGTGTGTGTGTGCGCGCGTGTCTGTGTCTGTGTGTGTGTGTCTGTGTCTGTGTCTGTGTGTGTGTCTGTGTGCGTGTGTGTGCGTGTCTGTCTGTGTGTGTGTGTGTGCGTGTCTGTGTGTGTGTGTGTGCGTGTCTGTCTGTGTGTGTGTGTGTGCGTGTCTGTGTGTGTGTGTGTGCGTGTCTGTGTGTGTGTGTGCGCGTGTCTGTCTGTGTGTGTGTGTGTCTGTGTGTGCGTGCATGCATGCCACTGGCGCTTTCTGTGCACCTGCCACATGGGTTTCCCTTGCTCTTTCTACCCCTCTCCAATCCCCTGCCCCGACACTTCTCATTGTTGCCCCTCCGATCCCTGCTCCCCTGGCTCTCCGGCTCCCTTTATGGGCTGGTCCTCCCAGGACAGACAGATGTTTGACACCATCTCCCTGCTGATCCAGGGCTCCCTGGACGGGGAGCTGAAGCTGATGGACGAGCTGGCAGGCCCAGGGGGCCAGCCCTCTGCCTTCCCTTCCACCCCCAGCCCGGGCGGATCCGACCCACAGGTTACTGTGTCCTGTCATGTGCCCCATCCTCTGACCGTGCCAAGCTGTGCCATGCTATGCTGTGCTTCTGGGGTGGCTGGGGGTATTGCCTGCCCAATAGGTGGGTATCTAGAGAAAGAGCAACTATAGGGCCACAGTTGAAGACTGCACCTGGCAGGAGGCAGTTGGCCGGTCGGGGTGGGGTGGGGTGGGGAGGGTCATGCTCCAGGCTCTGGAAGGTAGAGAGGCTGAAATTACCCTTTCAGGGGAGGGAAGGGATGGGGGATGGGCATGGAGATCCTAAGGAAGAATCTCGAAGAGAGAAGAGAGGGGACCGTGGAGTACCTTTACTTTAGGAGTAAAGGAGGCTGTGTCAGGTCCCAGGGAGAAGGGCCTCTGAGGTTAGTGCACATGGCTGTGCGACCCATAGAGGGGCCTGTTTTAGCCAGTCCATCCCCACTCCTCTGGTGGCCTTGTAAGTGCAGAACCCACTGGACCGGATAAGGGCTGTTGTAGGCAGTTTTCTGGCCCGAGGAAATGGAAGTGAATTCTGGGACATAAACATGACGCAGGCTTGGTTCCCTCGCCAAATGCCATCCCTTCCTGCACACCTAGGGTGCTCTTCTGCAGACTCAGCTTACCCTGAGCTGTTGCTTTCTTGGTCCCTCCAGCCCTGCTCTCCTCCCCTTAGCCCAGTATCCCTTCCAGACTCCCACCCCAAGTCAGGGACAACAGGCCTCAAATGGACCAAGGAGATGGATGTTGACTCCAGCAGGAGTCAAAGCCTGCTGGAAGAAGGGATAGCCCCCCAGGTTCCTAGGCAGCTTTTAGCCTGGTAGAAAACAGACAGTGATTTTCACATGATAAAAGACCGGTGCTTCTTGCTAGGGTTCAGCCTCAGACCTGGCAGTGGCCTAGAATGATCAGTGGGAAAAGGAATACAGCCAGGCCCTTCCCCAGGCTCCCCCATTCTAAACTAGGCCCACAGGGAAGATGGAGGGAGGAGGCTGGCACAGGACAATGATAAGAGCAGCCCACTCACCCGAACACCACTCACCCAGCAAAGAATGGTGTTGGAGTTCCTAGGTGAGCCAGCCAGATGATGTGGTGGCCAGAGTGCGCCCCCTTCAGACTAGCTGGGAGAACACTTCTCAAGACCCACATTGGAGAAGGGGAGCAGGTTGCAAGCAGGCAGGCAGGCGGAGGAAGGCCCATGAGGGGATAAGCCAGAATCTGGGGGCAGGCCAAGTCCTGCTAGGCTTTTGGAAGCAAAGAGAATAGGCAGAAAACAGCCGTCAGATTGTCGGCATTGTCCCCAGTGCACCCCCGCCCCCCATGCTGCTCTGTCTGCATAGAGGAGACGGGGCTTTGCTGGCCTTTCTTCCTTCTTTTTTTGTTTGGTATCATCTTTATGAGAGTGGAAGCCCTCTCCTCTGCGCTCTCTCTGGGTGGTGGTGGTGTGGGAGGGGGCTGCTAAGATGCCTGGGGTATCTTTAGAATGTGTTTCTGTGTCTCTCGGTCTCTTTGCTTTGCCAGTGTTTGCTCTTGTCTCTCTGGTGCCTGCTGCAGACTCTCTGATCAGAGCAGGGGGTTGAAGTGGGAGGGGGTGGTGCTGTGGGTCTATCTGGCAAGGGGTGGGTGGGGAGCGAAACGGGATACCTTCCTCCCTGCCATGTGGAAAGGGGAAGTGGGGGCTGTGAGTGTGCCTCGTGTGTGTCCTGGTTTCTCATGCCTGCTCATCTCTCTCCTGTCTAGATCCCTCTAGCTGAGATGGAGGCTCTGTCTCTGACGTCAGAGATTGTGTCTGAACCGTCCTGCTCTCTAGCTCTGACGGATGACTCTTTGCCTGATGACACTCACACACTCTTACTTAGTGCCCTGGAGAGCAATGTACATGCACACATCCCTTGCTGCTCCCCCCAGCCTGGGCTAGGCTGGCTGCAGGGTTCCAGATGCACTTTCCCTCTGTGCCCAGGTCCTGCTCTGAGGCATTCATTCACCTGTGGGCACAAGGTGCCCCAGGATTTGCTGTCACCGCGTGAATTCTTCCTTGAATTAGATAAGATAAAGCCAAGGCCCTGTTCGGAGGGTTACAGGGACATCATTGGTGACGGGGTTATTCCAGGAATGACAGCCCCAAACAGAAGTGGCTTGGGAGCCGGCTTCTGTGTTTGGAGCCCTGTGCCAGCCAGCCCTCCCTCCCTGCCCCCCTCCTCTCGCCTCTCCCTCACAAGACTCATGTCGTCCTGGGTGAGAGTCACATCTTTGCTGCTACCACCATGCCCTTCCCCTCTGGGGGACTGCTCCCGTCTCCTCTCTCTGTCCCTGTGTGTCCTTGTGCTCTGTCCTCAACAAGCTCTGGGGGTTTCTTGGTATTTTGACCTTTCTACTCTTCCTCAGTTTCCCTCTGTCCCTCTGACAGTGAGCAGCCCCCTTGTCTTATCATTTGCCTTCTGTTGTGTGAGCAGGGCCAGCTGAAGCAGGATCTTGATCAAAGGCTGGGAGGGTCTCTAGAGGTTGCGGCTGGCTGGAAGCAGCGGGTCCTGGGATTGAGCATAGAAGGGAAAGACTCAGATTATACTCAGCACGGCCATCTTCCACTTGCTGGGACTGAAACCAGCCGAGCCCGTGTGGGAGAAGAGCCTCCCTGCGAACTGGGAATCGGTGGTCCAGGAAAAGGGATTTAAAGGGGGACAGAAACTCTTTCTAGCTGGCCTTGGCTTCCTATTCCCCCCAGGGCTGATCGCTGCCTCTCTTTGAAACAGGTTTCCCAAACCCACTCCCACCTCAAGTCTGTGCACTGAGGGGGTACTGAGTCCCCAGTGCTCAGGCCTTGCTACCCACCTCCACCCTCCTGAGTCTCTGTGTGGTGAAAGAACGGGAGACCAGGCTGGGACACGCCCCTTGTGCTCACCTGCTATTTAACCTGCATGAGTCTCGCTCAGGCCTGCCCCCTGTTGATCCCTGGGGTAACGTTCAGATTCTCTAAGAGGACCACACTCAGTGCTGGGGGCTGCTCTCTCTTCTCTCGTCCCTCCTAGTCCTCCAACACCCCCAGCCCAGAGGCACACAGGTGATCCTGTGGGTATGCTCTCAGGGTGGGGCCTCTCCAATCCTTCTTCCCTGTATGTAGAAACTCCTCGTATGTCTTCCCATCTCCTACCATGCTCATGCCTACCACCTTGGCCTAGGAGGGTGCGGAGGGGGGTGTGGGTAGGTGGGGGGAGGACTGTGGGTCTGTGGGCTTAGTTCTTGCTGTCTAGCTTTCCCTCAGTCATCAAAGCCAACTGCATGCTCTTCACTCCGTCCCCCAATCCTTTTGCAGATGGTACCCCATCCTGCGGAGGTGCCAGTCCCCCTGGGACCAGACCTGCTGACCGTGAGGAAGTTCTGGCGTCAGCCGGACACACTCTCTGCCCAATGACAGCTACATGTGCCGCAATGGGAGCACTGCTGAGAGATCCCTAGGAAACAGGGGCTGGGGGCTCCCCAAAGCCCAGTCAGGTACCAAGGCTGGGGCAAACCAGCTTAGTTCACACAGGGAGACCAACCTTGCCTAAGACCAACAAAAGATGTGTTTCTTGTTTTGAAGAAACCCTAAGCTAAAGGAAGCTACCCAAACTGGAAGAAGTAGCTTTCATCCCAGGGAAGTGAGGGGTAGGAAGGTTGGAAGGGCTGCCTCCCAGACTCCTCTGTACTCACTCCTCCATGCCCCTTCCCCACAGGCTCCATCTTGTCTGTTCACTCCCAACCAGCAGACACCAGCTGCATCCTACAGCTTCCCAAAGATGCACCCTATCTGCTCCAACCTCATGGAGCTCCCATCTGGGGTGCCATCCCTAAACTACCCCCACCAGGACGCTCCCCTCTGGCTCAGAGGCCACTCAGGCGCCAGGTGAGCAAGTATGGAGGGCTGGCCCTGGGCCCTGGGGTAGGGGTCTGTATTGGAACCCCTATGCTGTTGGTAATGACTAAAGTTGACACTTCATTCTTCCAGCAAATGTGTGCCAGTGATACATCAGCTCTAGGTACTGGAAACATGGTACTGGGTAAAGGAGTTTGCCTTCTACCCCATGCACATACCTTGTTTTACTGATTGTTACCAGGGCAACAGACATCCAGTGGATGTGGTACCCAGGTACCAAGGCTCCCAATCCCAGACCCAGAGTTTCCCTCAATTCTTCACACTTTGGGCTAAACTCAGGGATATAAGGCAGGTTTAAGTATCTGTACTTTTGGCCAACCCTGGAATCCACCTTCCATGAACCAGAAGAGTGACCAATGGAGCCACGTGAGGCTTGTGTCCCTTGTGTTGATGTCTGTGGCTCCTGAGCACAGATAGATGACTATCTGCTCAGTCCCATGCTCTTGGGGAGCAGGCATGGTCCCCTCATTCTGCACCCACTCACCCAGCAGCTTCCTGCTGCTAGATACTGAGACACAGTTCCTGCTCTCTGAGCTCAGTCTAAGAATGGAGGCACACATGTCACCAGAGCACTGCAGCCACCGGCTATAGCTGCAAGGTGCTTGTGAGGGTTGTAGCAGGGAATCCAGAAGAGACAAGGGTTAGTTTTACTTGAAGTGGATTACCAGGCACTCATCACAGAAAACCCATGCTCAGAAGAGTGAGGGACACTTGTTGGGAAGGGATTTGAGGCCAAGGGAATTGTTGCCTTGCTCTCCCTAAAGGCTAGAGGCACAAAGGGACCCGGCTTAGGAAGCAGGGTTCTTTCTGGCCTCCCAGGGCCTAAAGACTACAGAGCTCCTCCTGCATGGTATGAGGAACTGGGGCACGGAGGGCAGAAGGAAGGGGGATTGTTGATTGAAGTGGGGGAGGCATGGACCGTGGATCTCAGAGGGCTCATGGCCCCCTCTCTCAATAAGAGAAGTTAATAGGGTGGTCCTGGAGCTTCACAGGGGTCTGGATCACCCAGCCTGACAGGATAAAAGGCAATCCATGTTGGAAAGGAAATCCCTGACCTGAGCCCTGCCCCCACTCCCCACAGGCAGCAATAAGGACTGACTCCCTGGATGTGCAGGGCCTGGGTAGCCGGGAAGACCTGTTGTCAGAGGTGAGTGGGCCCTCCTGCCCTCTGACCCGATCCTCATCCTTCTGGGGCGGGTCGAGCATAGAGGTGCAGCGGCGCTCCCGCAGCCAGTGCAAGGTCTCCAAGCACATCCGCCCGCCAGCCGCTTGCCCAGGCCTGGAACCCGGCTGGGCCAAGGACCCTCAAGAGACCAGAAGCAGCTTAGAGTTGGACACGGAGCTGAGCTGGCTTTCAGGAGACCTCCTGCCCAGTAACCAGGAGGAACCCCTGTCCCCACGGGACCTGAAGAAGTGCTACAGTGTAGAGGCGCAGAGCTGCCGGCGCAGGCCTGGGTCCTGGCTAGATGAACAAAGGAGACACTCCATTGCGGTCAGCTGCCTGGACAGTGGCTCCCAACCCCGCCTATGTCCAAGTCCCTCAAGCCTGGGGGGCCAACCTCTTGGGGGCGCTGGGAGTCGGCCTAAGAAAAAACTCAGCCCACCCAGTATCTCTATAGATCCCCCGGAGAGCCAGGGCCCTCGGCCCCCGTGCAGTCCTGGTGTCTGCCTCAGGAGGAGGGCGCCATCCAGTGACTCCAAGGATCCCTCGGCCTCCGGCCCCCTTGACAGCACGGCTGCCTCACCCTCCCCAAAGAAAGACGCGCTGAGTCTCTCTGGTTTGTCCTCTGACCCAACAGACCTGGACCCCTGAGTCCCGCCCACTCTCCCGCTCACCTTTCTCTACTGGGTGCAGATCCTTGCTCCGCCTCCTGGGCAGTCTTTCCGACAAGTCCCGAGTACACAGGTACACAGCAAGGCGCTGCTCCTGCCTTCTTTAGGCTGGGGGATCACAAGCAGGACTTCCGGAGAGTCTGAAGAGAGCACAGCCCTGGCACCACCGCCTCCAGGAAGAAAGAGAGGGAGAAGCCCAGTGTGGCCGAGGCCGAGGCTCCCGACACCAGGAGCTGTTGGGAGAAAGCAATACGTTTGTGCAGAATCTCTATGTATATTCTATTTTATTAAATTAATTGAATCTAGTATATGCCGGATGTACGACATTTTGTGACTGAAGAGACTTGTTTCCTTCTACTTTTATGTGTCTCAGAATATTTTTGAGGCGAAGGCGTCTGTCTCTTGGCTATTTTAACCTAAAATAACCAGTCTAGTTATACTCCCTCCTCTTGTAAAGCACAAGCAGGGACCGTGAGTGCATTACAACCCAACGGTGGCCCCATCTTCAGAGGAAAGGGAGAACCATTTTGGAAACTGTCATGTAACTTATTTTCTCCTTTAACCTCGTCATCGTTTTCTGTAGGGGGAAAAAAAGAGAAAAAGATAAAAAAAAAAAACCAAGATTTTGCAAATGAAATGGAACCTTTTTATATATACATACATATCTATATATCTATATATCTATATAAAATAAAGTAATTTTCCAAAATAAAAAGTTAATCACAGTCCAAAGTAAAAGTAAAGGGGATGGAGAGGTAGGTGTGTTCAGATGGCCATGGGGAGTGGGGGGTACGGGGGAGAATTGCGACTGCCTTTGTGTGTGTAGGGGGTGCCTGTGTGTGTCGAGCGTGTGTGCATTGGTATGTGTGAGCTGTGTGCTTGAGAGAGGAGGAGCTCAAATGCCCCACCACGGAGGGCTCCATCCTGGCACCTCCCCAGCCAGCCTGGGGAGAAGAGGACCCTGTGCCTGGTAGGGCTGGGCAGTGGGGGCTTCTGTTTTTATACCAAAGCTTTATCGCGTCCTCAGAGCCAGGGAGCTCAGGGAATGTGAGTAATTCCAGATTAATTCTTATTTCTGCTGACAGCTATCAGCCACACATTGAAAGCTAGAAATTGGCATAATGAAGCTGTTTTGGTTAATGGGACCCATGGAGGCTGGGAGGCAGCCTCAGCTGCTGCAGGTCTACATCTAGGGGCCAGTGGGGGAGGGGCAAATGCGTCCGAGTTTTCCTAACCTAGTCTTCCACCCTGGCGTTTGCCACACTCTGGCTGGGTGGTGACCTGAGGTGTCTGGGCTAAAGCCTTGGGCCTCCTCCACCTGCCCGCTGACATTGAGATTAATCTGTGTAAATGTCCCCTCCTGAGGAGGAGGTTGCAGGGACCGGGGCTGGAGGCCTCCTGATAAAGGTGGAGGACTGGCGGTGGCCAGAATACTGAGCTAGGATGCTGACTCCCTGAGGGGTGATGAATGACACAAGCAAGGTGCTTACATGGTCTGCTGCTGCTTGCCCAGTGGGAGGGAGCTAGAAGAGAGGGAAGAGGGG